TTTTTAGCGGTGTAAAACTTCATAATACGATTTTTATGGTAGCTTACGAATCCCTTAAATATAGTTTGAGACGTTTAAGGTTTTCAACATACAACAATATGACAGTGTACAATACATTGTAAACACCCTAATTGTGTTTTAATAAGTCATGAAACGAATTTGTTGATACTGTAGATGTTTTTAAATTTTATGAGTCCTTTATTGAGCAATCTACCGACATTTCTACCCTAAACTTTAGCCATTTAACCGCGACAATGACTATTTCCAATAAGTCATAAAGATATTGGAACTTTAGATTTTTTAATTTTCGGAGCTTGAGCCGGAATAGTGGTAACATCTCTTAGAATTTTAATTCGAGCTGAATTCGGACATCCAGAAGTTTTAATTGGTTATCATCAAATTTATAATGTAATTGTTGTGAATTTCGGAAGAGAATGTGTTAGAGCCTTTCTATATTAAGGTAACGATATGTACCTTGACATTCAGTAGATAAATTAGAATATTTTTGTATATAAAAGCACATATATCAAGCTACTGGCTGGCTTCAACCAATTTAATATATTTGCAATTTTCTGCACTTTTTGGTTGAAACTTTTCAGGAAAAATCTGTATGTACGAATATATGTACATATGTAAGTTTACGCAATTAATTTTTAGGAAGTAAAAGTTCTCCTCTTTTTCAGTTCCAATAACTTTGTTTGTTTAAAAACTACGAAAAAAATACTAGTACGCACGCATGGCCGTGTGTGTGTCTCTAATATTTCTACTTCGATCCAGTCATATCAAAATGAATAACAAAAAATTTAAGATGCATATGTATATAGGTACATATGTACATATATATATTGTAACCTTTTTATCGTAGTAAATAAAAGAAATTTTCTCAACAATAGAATCATTTTATTAAAAATTCATATATGTACATTTTTCTTATTTAAACACGCAATACTTGCAAAGTTTCAGGAACGAATATTTCACATTTAAATAGACACATACATAAATATTTCTCATAAACGTATGTATTTGCAATGCAGGCCAGTATACATTAGGGTGGTGCGTAAAATATCAACTACAAACTAAAAGACATCCACGAATTTTCACATTTTAAACAAGTTTCTAAGGGCCGTTACCAGAGCTGGAAAAATTTTAATTTTTTTTTTAAATCGCAAGAATTCGACAAAATGTTTACTTTGACTAGCTATAGCATAGCGAGTTTATGAATTTATATGAAAAAGTTTCCATACGATGAGTTGTAGCTGGTAAGAGTAAAAATTGTTTATAACATTTGCTATTTAAAAAAAAAATTTGAAAAAAATATGTTTTTACTTTTTACGTAGAACAAAATAAAAAGGTGCGTGCCCCATACAAAATTAAATGTTCACATTTTAAGCAACACCCTAATATCTTAATTTTTTAACATTTTGCTGATTTTCAATAAATAAACTATAAAGAATTTGATGCACACGCGTACACACATATACATATGTATATATGTACATGCAAGTACGTAAAAGTCAGACCAATTGTAAGGACAAAGTGGCAGGTGTCAAAGACAGGAATTTCAGTAAATGTGCAATATTGGAGCATACTCGTATATATGTATATATATGAAAAACGTGAGTGCACCTTTCAGCCTTTGTTGTATGAAGCTGAATGCTTTTCACAAGCACATTTTTTATGCGCTCGTACATATGTATGTGTGCTTACATCACTTAACGATACAAGGTAACACCTCGTTCTTTGACACACTTTTGTAGCGATATTGTATAAAAAAATTACTTATGAATATTGTGCAACATCAATAAAGTTTGCTGCGAATATATGTGACTTCTATGACAACTTAATAACTAATGCATACATACATACGTATTAGGAATGTTATTTTTTTGCTTTTTACCGCCCCTTGATTTTCGGGATGTCATTATCAAAATCCCGAGATTCCGGGATTTGTCCCGGGTTTTAGATATTCATTACTTTTCAACTACTTAAATCGAAAAAATTGCGTATATCTCTCCTACCATATAACAAATAATAAATAAAAGGATTTGAAACCTACTTTTTTATTTAAAGTGGCGTTTTAATTTTATCTGTCTGACGTCAGGATTTATTTCAAAGGAATTTGTAGTTTCAAAGATGTGATTAATTCCAAAAAGTATTTAAAAAATTCAATGCAATGGAGATAAAAAAATATGAGTACCAAATGAAAGAGGAAATTTCTTTCGAATTAAAAAAAAGATACAATTTTTTTGATTCTCAAAGACGAATGGATAATTGTTTAAGCTGATAAAATTATAAGGGCGAAATTCGAGGAAGTTATCGAGTTTATATAAGTCCTTAACATATAATTTTTTCAAAAACAAATATTGCGAAATTTCAAGGATACAATTTTGAAAGGACATTTTCAATACTTATCAGTCTTTATGCACCAAAAAGTGGAATCTGTTTAAATTCTGCTGAATTTCCTCTTTAGTTTGATACCCATACTACTTCTCTAAACGCATTTCACTGAATTTTTTAAATCATTTTTGAATTACTGACGTCAGAATGAAAAACTAAAAACGCAATTTTACTATATTTGGCCCATGGTTTCGCGAGTATTTTGATTTTTGTGTATAAAATTTACTATCGCACGGTGTTATAAGTATAATGAGCTAGATATTTATAAAAAAAATATTAGTTATTAAATAAACAAGTAATTTTTAAGCAAAAAACAAAACCGACTTCAATTCTCATATACAAATTTAAGATTATCGTTAATTTCTTCACGATCCAACTATCGGATCTAATCAAAATTAGTATGGAACCACCCATAAAAAATATATATATATATATATATATTCCAACGAACTGATAACCTAATCGTTTTTTTTTTGAAGTCGGTTAAAAAAATAAATATAGCCAATACTGGTCAAGAAAAGTAGTTTCTATTATTGCCATCAGTGCAAATTGCAAGTCCCGAAATTTTCGGAACCTAAAAAAGGTGGGAATCCCGGGATTAACATTCCTAATATGTATGTATGAATGTATGCATGCCAACGAGTTCCAGAAATTATCAAGCGTTTTGATGGATTTCATAGAATATTTCTTACTACAACAACTAAAGAACTTTGGTGGTAGGAGGAAAATGCTGGTTACGAAGTAAGGATAGCGCAGGGGACAGCAAAAATTTTATTCGAGAGTCCAAATAGCAACTTATTTGATGCTTGTAAATTTAGGTTAGTTATTCTTTAGGAGAGCAGCAAGGACACGGATGGTACCGTGGCCTACCCCCTATTATTTAGTGAAATCAGGGAAAACCGGCGACTGCTTTGAGCGATATGACTCTTTTTACTTTTCAAGCTGCCTAGACTACATCTCATCATCCTTTGGCTGACCCTAATCTCCGCGAGCTCAGTGGACAGGGGTTATATCCTGAAGTCTTGGAGGAGTACTTAATGCTAATTGCGGACTCGCTACTAATTCTGGTAAGACAAAGCTCGTTTTAAGCTGCCTTTACACGGATCGATTTTCTAGTCAATTGTGTCGTTCAACCATAATCGGTGTTTTCGTTGAGCGATTTCTCAGTTGACAGAAATCGAACCGTATAAATGCAGCTTCATTCACTAGGAGATATAAGGTGCATAGTTCTCAGCTACCATCGACCGGAGGCATTCCACTTGTGCTTTCTGACAGAGTCAATTAGTTGAGCTTGTAGCCAAGTATTAAAGAGCGAGTTAAAAAGGCAAGAGTGGATTTAACAGCAGTAATCTACTGATTGCATGAAACCTTAATCAAGTCAAATAAGAATGTTGCATGAGATTTGGCGGAATACTTCCAAATTAGGGTTGTCTCACCTCGAAGGATGGTATAGGAGTTCCTGTGAAAACTGGCGGCCTATTCATGGTTTCCGGATTGCAAGGTCCCTGTAACTGGTGGTGGACCGTAATCGGTCAAGGGAGTTTCTTAAGCCATCAATGACAGGAGTTGCTATGGGCCACTGTCCAAATAGCAACTTATTAGGCATGAATTGACATTATCTCTGAGCCGTGGTTTTTTGAAGAAAGATAGGGTGGAGTCTTCTCAGAAATTTCTTCTCAGCAGCCTTGTTTTCGCCGGGCTAAGGTTTAAACATCAGTTATCTTATTTTATTCAAATTCTCGAGGAGCTCTATGGCGTGGACATCAGCTAACTACGGAACTTCAATTTGAACACGAAAAGCTTTTCCTATCAATCTTATTATGCGTAACTCTCTAGGAACAATGGATAACAAAAACTTTGTCTAAGTTTGCCCTTTATGGAGCTGCCACCTAATCGAAGCTTAATACCTCACAGAACTTTTGTGGCAACATTGAAAAGGCCTCTGAAACATCTTGAATTTTGGAAGATTTTTGCAAGAGACTTCTTAAAATAGACTAAATGGTCTTCCTCTTCCCCGAATGCAACGATCTTTCGAGAGATCCGATTGAAGGAAAATAAGGATGATGTTAAGTGTGTTGAGAATCGTTAGAGCCTTTCGGGTGTCCGGGTACAGATCTTTCGGGAGATCCAACTGTAGCGGGTTGAGGAAGATCTTGAATAGAGTAGTTTGAATCATTTAAGTCTCTGAATACGAAAGAGTTGGAATGTGGCAGATATTGCATTCATATCGAAACTAGGAACTACCTGTGTAACGAGCATTTTTAGATCTTTCAGAAATAATCCTGCAAAGATTCTGCATTGTTCGCAGAGTGATGGTCCGCCTAACTTGATTACATACTCGCCAAACCCACTCATACCTTAAAAACCTCGTACAATTAAAGTTTTAAGCGCGTTCCCATTGGAACACCTTTTAATTGCATTTCATTTCATAAAATTTTCCTGTATCCAAAGAAACATAAAATAGTAGAATCAAAATTATTGAAAAGTCAAAATGAAACTCGTAAACGATTTTGTCAAAATTTTATAAAAAATTTCCAAAACATATTTTTTTACTGAACAAAAAAATTATTTAGATAAAATTTATCATTGGAAAGTAACTAATCATGCTCAGCGTTCGAAAATTATGCCAAAAACTGCATCAATTGTTCCAAGACCGTTATCCGTACATTTGGTTCGTATCCGTCTTTACGGCTGTCTTCACCGGCTTTTTACACTACGAACTCAAGCACAATAGCCGTGATCTGATCTACTGGAAGGAGCTGCTCGACTACTGCTATGAATTGGAACATTTTGCCCTCATACTCATTATGATTGTCGTGCTCATCAAAGTCACCTTTCTGGCCTTCATCATCGTTATGAATTCGCGCTCGTTCACATGGTTCGACGAACTCTCCCAACTGGAGGTGAAGAAACGCTATGCCGACTTCTTATTCATTCGTCTGATAGCTGATATCGACAAAATCGAATCGAAATATCTGCGTTGCGCCAATGAGAATGAAATTGCATCGCTGAAAAGCTTCATACTGGCACATGAGGATATGCGTAAGACGATTGATCATTTCCGTAAAGATGCGCGTAGACTGTTGACGCCGAATGAGATCGAGGTATCGCTGCCGATCGATGAGGTATACGGCCTGATGGATGATGAAGAGCGTTTGATGCGCCGCTCACGTTTCTATCATATGGACATTTCGGCAGATGATGAGCTAATCAAGTCATTGGTGAATCCGTAATTTAATTTTTGTGAAGCTTTCTTTATTTTAGGGTTAATTTGCTTTTATTGGGCTATATAGAGATTTGAATGTTTTACAACAAAAGAAATTTTGGTTTAATAGAGTCCATATTTTACCCACTCATAGCATCGTTTGAATAAACTATCGTGCTGGATTTTTCGCTCCACCGGAAATTTGCAACAAATGCAATATATTTGATGCGGAAAGTGTTTAACTGAACAAACATAAATTATATCTGGGACTCGGTTTCAGCGGTTATTTTTGATGTGAAAACCAGTCATATCTTTGGAGGGAACTTCTCCAACATCGTAGATGTTGACGGAATCCGTTCCCCGTAACCGAAAAAGGTGGTAAATCAATGAAGCTATTCAGATATGGCGGCAATGAGCCTAGTGAGCAGAGTTGCCATTTAGGTTTAGCGATTATATTTTATGCTCATCTGAGCATTTGTGGACTACCGGGATTTCAAGAGCTCTTCGCTTAAAAGGGCAATTCTGGCTAAGGTCGTAAGAAGTCTTTCGTAAGACAGATGAGCACACAAGTCTTAAGGCTGGTTTTCACTATGTCATATTTTGACAAACAATTTTGGCAACATATTTTGACACAACTTTATCTTGTTTTTTCATACTTGAACCGATTATATTAAGGGCCAAAAAAAACAGTTAGCCAATTTAAACAACTGAATACCTATTCTGACTAAATCAATGGGTAAACATTTGTTTTTGTTCCATTTGACAATGTCTTTTCACTTATTTGACGACAAATGCCATTCAATTTGACAGAGTGAAAACCAGCCTTTAGGAAAAAAAGCTCCCTCATACACAAATCGCGGTGAAAAGCTATTTTGAGAGAAAGCACTTGTATATCATTAACTCGCGTCACTTCTGCAGTCGCAATGTCCGAGTGAGCACAGGCGTGCCAATCAAGAGATCCGAGTTCGAGTCCTCGCGGAGCGGAATCTTTTTGTCTTTTTTTTTTAATTAAAATTTAATTATTATTTTTTGTTTAATTTAACATTTACATTTTTTTATTTTTACAAAGGAAAATAACATTTTTTAATTAAATTTTGAGAAACTTATGTTATGTATTTTTTTCCCTTGGTTAAATTTTCTTTTTAAATTAGTTTTTTTTTATTTTTTTTTTATTTGTTTTAAAAACAAAATTTTTTATTTTATTTAATTTTTATGAAACTTTTTTTTCTTTTTTAAATATTTTGTTAGTAAAATTTTTTAAGTTTTAGATTTTTTGATTAAACAGCTTTTTTTAATTTATGTTGTTATTCTTTTGTTAATTTCATTTTCTTTTCATTTTTAGGTCTTGTTTAAAAAGAAAAATATATTTTATTTCTTTAATTTAACTTTAAGGATCTTATTAAGTTTTTAAAATTGTTTTTTTTTTCCTTTTTTGGAATGGAACTATTTTTAATATAGTTTAATTTTTAAGTACAATTTCCTTTTTTTTGAATTTCATTATTTTTCTCTTAAATTTTTTTTATACTTTTTTTGTTTTAAAATGAAAATATATGTTTATTAAATTAATTTAAGTTTTAAAAAACTTTTTACAAAAAGACAAACAGCATAACGCTAAGACCTCGTTAGCAGATCTTTCAATTAGTTGAAAGACAGTTGGTTTTTGATACGGCTACGAATTGTAAGAGTAGTACACATCGTTATGCGCTGATGTCAATAAAGGTAAGTCAGACCGAGAAATAATTAGACACAACTGACTGAGAAGTCAGGTACTATTCTATTACAGCTCTATGAAAAATACCAAATCCCTTTCTTATGTGCAGCTACTTCTGCTTGGAAAACATTAACCACTGGCAGAAATATGAAAGTATTTAGCTATGCCAGAAACTTTGTTACTCTTCAAAGAGACTGCCAACAATAATGCCCAATTTTTTATTATACCATTCTTTAATACTAGCGACTTTATTTGGGCTCTCCTTTTCATTTTGTGAGGTTTTTTGGGTCCTATATAAAATAGTTAGTAATAGAAAATGGTTCTAGCGGGTGAGAACATTAAAATTCCTTTCAGCTATACCCAGTTTTAAGTTCTTAATAAAAGGTGTCCACTTTTAATATAACCAAAATTTATGTCTAGCTTTTGATGAAAATTTAAGGAAAGTTTCAAAATTACGACAAATTTATATCCTGTTCTCAAATACCTAAAAACGAATGTCTAGTTTTGAAATATCCAAAAGTATTTGTCCAGTTTTCCAATGACCAAAAAAGTTTACTAGTTTTTACATTCATAAAAAATTGTATCCAGTTTTAAAATAACTAAAAACGAACGACCCATTTTAAATCAGTTTTTAAATACCTAAAAAAATTATTTTCAGTTTCTAGATATCCAATAAATTATGCTCGTTTTTAAAATTGCTAAAAAATTGGAAAGCAATTTATGTCCCATATGCCATAAAATTAATGTCCAGTTTTTGAAAGCCATAATTTATGTAAACCTTACAAATTACCAAAAAAAAACCAATTTTCAAATTTTTAAATAACCAAAGATTCAAATCCAGTTTTTAAATATCTAAAAATTAATGTTTAGTTTTCAAGTAGCCAAAAACTTATGTCCGTTTTTTAAATAATCTAAAATTTGATGTCTACTTTTAAAATTACTAAAAATGGATGTCCCAACCAAAAATTCATAACCAGTTTAAATTATCTAAAAAAAAATCAGTTTCTAGATAACCAAAAACGCATGTCCGTTTTGCAAAAATTTTTTCATCCGTTTTTAACCCTTCCGTACGCACGCCCCCACCATGCAAACCGGCAAATTAGCATACCTCCGTCATCAGAAACGCGTTTGATTTATTGACTGCCAATATCTGACGCGCTCGAGTAAATCCTTTTTTTACATTTTTGGAAGCCTATAGATCCTCCATCCACCGCTGAAAGGATATACAGCACCTGACCTTTTTTTCTTTCTATCATCTAATCTTCAAAACCCAATAGATCCCCACAACGCTAGAGTAAATCCCGATTTAGAACCCTACCCAGCTAAATATTTTGTTTAATTTTAAACTCCAAAAAGGAGTAATAAATAAAACATCAATTTGGTGGAGCATCAATCAGTCATGGGATTTTTGAAATTTATTACTTAGTTTTTAAATGTGTATCCTTTATAAAAATGGCGCATCCTCAAACTCCGAGGCACTATGTGGAACCGCTTCTTGTTTGTTGTTATTGCGAAAGCGTTGTGGTCCAATATTGACGCGATTTACCACAGGCGAAGGCGGACGTTTGAACCGAAACAGGCTTGAACGCAAACCTTCGCCACCAATTTTCGTTGGTTTTCTGCCATTAAAGTTCCCAAAATGTGTTTGACCATAAGGCCAATCTTCCAGTTCCTCCTCAACTTCGGGCAATATAGGATTAAAACGTTGTCTTGTCGGTCTAAAACGAACACGTTGATGATCGGGTCTATACACGTCCGATGGTCTTTGCGACTGAAGCTTT